TCTTACCTGCGATGGATTAAAATAAGGAACAGATGAAAGTGGAAATATTGGTTTATTCAGTAGCTTTGGCTGACCGTATAAAAATACACAGTTGACCCTTGAACAACACAGGTTTGAAGTGTGTGGGTCCTCTTATATATGGGTTGGTTTTTTGGGTTTTTTCCCCCCCAATAAACATAGAGTTGGCCCTCCACATCCCTGAGGTTTGCAAATTTGACCAATTGTGGATACAGAAAGACAAATGTATGCTTTGTTCTACACCATTTTACACAGGGCACTTGAGCATTGTGGATTTTGAAAGCCAATGCCCTGTGGATGCTGAGGGATGACTGTAGTTAAATTTGGGGAAGTCTAAAGTTATATGCAGATTTGTGACTGTGTGGTGGTCAGCACCCCTATCTCCTGCATGTCCAAGGGTCAGCTGTACATCCAGTAGCAGCTAACATGACAGACTGTTAGAACAGCTTATTAAAATTTCAGCTAAGATGTCATTTGGGGAATAACATTCTACAGAATGGATGCTATCCTCCAGGGTAAACTGTATGCATCAAATCAATGATTTTTGGACCTGTGTCCCCAATAAATAGAATACCTGGGTCCTCAGCACTATAATAACCTTTCAAGCACCACAAAACCCAGATCCATACTGTGCCAGTTAATGTGGGCATTAAAAGTTGCTAGCTCACACCCTTTTTCTCCTAATCCTCAGCCTCTCAAACTATCTTCCAACTTTTCCTCTGTCAGTTAAGCTGTAGGCAGCTGGTAACCACTGCTCCCATCCCCCCAAAAGAGTAACACTGAGGCTCTGATGAAGCCCATACATCAAACGCACTTTTCTGTCAACTTCCCCACCCCCAGTTTTCATTCTTGCAACTCTGTTCCGAAATTCCATGTCTGATTTTTCTGGAGCAAACTTTCCTTCCTCCTTCCCTTACTCTCTTCTGCCTTTTCTTCCCTTCCTTCCTCTTTCCTTTCTGTCTTATTTCCTTCCTTTCCTGCCAAAATGCATATAATTAAGGAAAATCTAAGTAATCCATGGAATCATGACAAAAGGAAAATATAGGTAGAGAAATAAAATATTAGCACAGAGAAAAGTTGACATTGTGATGAGCTGAACCATGCCTGCCTCCCTAAAAAAGATACTGAAGTCCTAACCCAGGTACCTGTGAGATCTTATTTGGAAATACAGTTTTTGCAGATGTAGTTAAGATGAGGTCATCAGGGTAGGGCTTCATCTAACATGACTGGTGTCTTTATAAGTAGAGGAAATGTAGACACTGACACGCAAGAATACTGCGTGGCAGAGGCTGAAGTAATACAGCTCCAAGTCAGGAATTGCTGGCCATCGCCAAAAGCTAGGAAGAGGCCAGGAGAGACTTTGCCCTACAGATTTCAGAGAGAACGTGGCCCTGCTGATACACTTATTTTGATCTTCTTACCTCCAGAACCATGAGAGAATAAATTTCTGTTGTTTTAAGCCACTTAGTTTGTGGTACTTGGTTACAGCAGCCCTAGGAAACTAACAGAGTAGGCACTCCATATTTGACTCTTAGCTTCCCCAGCAGCTAAAGCAAGGGAGTGGCCCGTTACGCGCTCCACAGCGCCCATGGGATTCAATGATCCTGTTTGTGCAGTGGCCGCGGGGCCTTTCACCACCTGAGGGACCAGAGAACGGCCTCCTCTGGGTCAGGAAAAAAAAGCTGTGGGAATTGGTGGACAGCTGCAGCGAATGACATCAGGACACTAGTTCTGATAATAAATTTTATTCAGCTGTTTCCTACAAGGTGCCTCACTGCAGGCAGATGACATAACCCCCAAGGGACAGCTCATTAAAAGCAGATCTAAAAACCAGAAATGGCTATTAGCAACAAGACTGGTAATACCAAGTGTCGGAGAGGTTGTGGAGAAAAAGAAACCCTCGTTCGCTGCTGGTGGGAATGTAAACTGGTACAGTCACTATAGAAAACAATATGGAGGTTCCTCAAAAAATTAAGAATAAAGTTACCATATGACCCTTCTGGGTGTCTACCTGAAAAAATTGAAAACATTTATTCACAAAGATATATGCACCCCTATGTTCACTGCAGCATTATTCACGGTGGCCAAGACATGGAAACAACCAAAGTGTCCTCTGATCGATGACTGGATAAAGAAGATGTGGTCCACACATACTACAGAATACTACTCAGCAGTGAGAAAAGATGAAATACTGCCATTTGTGACAACATCGATGGGCCTTGAGAATACCATGCTAAGCAAAGTCAGTCAGTCAAAAAAAAGCCAAGAACCATATGATTTCACTTATATGTAGGGATAAAAAGCTCAAACTCATAGACACAGACAACAGTATGGTGGTCAGAGGGAAGGGGGAAGAGGAGTAGGGTAAAGGGAACCAAATATATGGTGACGGAAGATGATTTGAGTGGTGGGCACACAGTGCAATGCACAGATTATCATAGAAATACACTCTTGAAACCTATATAACCTTATTAACCCAGGTCACCCCAATACATTTAATTTAAATTTTTTATGTTAAAAATTAAAAAAGAAACAGAAATGAAAGAGGAGACATTACTATCAACCTTACAGAAATCAAAAGGATTATAAAAGAATGCTATGCACAGTTATATACTAACATACTAGATAATTTGGATGATTATGGATAAATTCCTAGAAAGATTCAAGCTACCAAAACTTACTCAAGAAGAAACAGACAATTTGAACAGAACTATAACAAATTAAGAAATTGAATTAGTAATTTAAAAAAACAAAACTACTCCAAGAGAAAAGCCTAAGCCCAGGTGGCTTCACTGTTAAATTCTACAAAATATTTGAGGAAGAGTTAATACCAAGTCTTTATAAATTCTTCCCAAAAACATAAGAGGAAGGAATATTTCTCAACTCACTTTGTGAAGCCAGTATTACTCTAACACCAAAACCAGAGAAAAACATCACAAGAAAACTACAGACCAAAAGCACACATAGGATGGACCAAATGAGTGTGATCCAAATACACTGCTCTGTAATCTCATGTTTTTGAGGTAATTTCCATAAATAGTTTTCTCAAACTGGGTTTTGGGTAAGAATTAGACAGCAAGTTTCAAGGCTATAATCTCTGGCAAGAATCTGGAGAGAAAATATTCTGCACTACCAGTAAAATGCATGCCCTCATGCTTTGCCAACTTCCAGGGGATCGGGTAGAATTGCGGTCTTCTTATGAAAATTAAATGTTGTTTATAGTTAAATGCACAATGAAAGTTAGGGGAACTTCCACTACCAAAGTAAAAACTGAGTGTTTTTCTTGCTGAAGGCTGAACAAAGAATGTGGGGCAGAAAAAGAGAGTTATCAGATATTTGAGATGTATTGTTATAGTTTGATTTAAAATTTAATATAAAACAATAAGAAAGATTTTGGATTATAAGAAAGCTTGACTCAAACACAGAAAAGTCAGGCTCCTTTTCTCTGCACTTTAAAAATAAATCCAAAACACACCCTCCTAGGATAGTAAGCATTCCAGGAATCTAAATCCTACCCCTTTTTAGGTCTTGTTAAATGCTGCCACCTTCCAGAAAATGTAGCTGTTCTCAATTTGGTGTGGCACTACAATGTTTCTTCTTATACCATTTTTCACTTTCTTCTTGCAGTTGCATTTGTGTCTCTTACTGAAGTATAATCTTGAGGTCAGGAATGATCCCTTGAATCTCCAGATTCTTCTTCAGGTTTAGGGTAGTGCTTTGCCCATAACCCGCATTTACTAAAAACTGTCTTACGAACTAATGAAAATATCGTGTATCTCATTACATGGTCAGTTTAAAGCCAAATGGATGTTTAAGGTACTCCAAGTAAAAAGTCTCTCGTTAAAAGTATTACCACAATTAACTTTAAACATTTGTTTATTAATTAAACCATGAATAAGAGATGGCTTTAATCTAATTCATTGATATTGCTTTTCTTTCAATCAGATGTCCACAGCCATCAATGTTCTCTTGGCTGAGAAGAAGAACATTAACCTAATAGTTAATCTTCACATTATAAAATTATCCGTTTGAAGACACCCAACCAGTTTCTTCTCCTTAAACCATTCTTAGAATGGTAAGGTGAAACTCCTTTAATGGACTTTAAATCTCTATTTTATAGAAAGGATGAGGTTAAAAAAAAAAAAATTCCCTGAACCAAAGCATGTAAAGTAGATTATATTTTTGTAACCAGTGTTCCCTGACCTCCTTTTAACAGGATTATACCATCTCTGCCCATTGTCATGATTTTGCAAGGCTGCCTTATGAGAGGAGTGTACTTTCAGGCCCCATTGGCAGCAGACTTTGTCATGTGACTTGCTTTGGCCAATAGAATGTGAGCTGTTTCAAGGGCAGCACCTGACAGTGGCATGCGAGAGCTGATTGTTACATTTCCAGAAACTTGGCAAGACACTTGTTAAACTGTCAGTTGCTTGAAATTGGCCACAGTGGGAGTATTTACATGATGGAAACAGCAAATAGTACAAATCAGGACTCCTCTTCCCTCACCGTTGGTGCTCGCACACACTGAGTGTGTCTCCTGAAAGCTGACCTTTCAACCTGGAGCGTGGAATAGAGGAAACTGGTGGAGTGGTGCCAAAGCTGCCAGCAGCAGAAGCTATTTGCTTCAACATCGGCAACAGAATCCTGGTTGTAAATCACTGAATACAATGTATCAAAAGCTGACTGATACACCATGCTGGTGTTACTAAGTTTTAGTGATCACCACTGAGCCCTACCTACCTTTATCTGTCCAGACCTTGGTTCAGGGCATTTCTTCTAACAACTCGTGCCATCACACACCTTGAACCTGAAAGGATACAAGTTGCATTCAGAGACTCCAGAGAGAAATCCAGGTCTTGGAAGGTTAATGGAAAAAGGTACATAACAAAAATGACATTTAAAAAAAAAATTCACTAAACTCTTGTTTCATTTCTAAACCTTGGCAAACATGTATCTGTCACTCGTGGACCTAGATGGTTTAGGAGTGACTCGCCCGTCCTTTTAACTGCAGTTCACACGTTGCCGTCCCCCCTGCACCCTCCAGACGTGGGAACTGAGCGCTGTGTCTTTAAGGGGGACGAGCGGAGGTTTCCGCTCCGGACAAAATGTCTGCGAGGATCCTGGAGGGACCCGCAATCCCTCCGCCAGGCTCCCTCCCGCCGTGCTCCAGGGATGATGGAGTGAGTGTGGGCCTCGAGGCTGGTGCAGCAAGTACCCAGGGCACGCTGGGGCCTCCCCAAGGCACAGTCGGGGGTGGCGCAGTGGGAGGGGGTCGGGGTGGCGAGGTCGGCTGGGGGGCTCGCCCGGGCCTGGGGCGGCAGGTGAGCCACCGCCCGAAGGCCGCAGCCCGACTTGTGTTGTTACCGTTATCACCGGCTCGCTGGGCACCGGGTGCTGGCTGCGCCTTTTCCTTCACGGTGGTCAGATTGTCGTTATTGTAAAAGATGCATTTGGCCCTGGTTTCTGCTTAAAGGCACCATTTAATTTCTTTCAGGACCTCATTTTTCTCCTCTACAGTATCCCCTCAAAAACATACTCGGCAGTACTGAAAATCGTCTGCCCTCCCTTTGTTAACAGTGCCTAGGACAGTCAGGCTTTTAACATTGTGCAAGGGGTTGGGGGCCCTCTCTCTCTAAGCGAGACTCCCTTAGTGGTTCCCACCTTGGGAAGGAGAAACCCTACCCCCCACCTCCTCGGTGCTCAAACAAAAGAATTTTCTGATCCTTTCCCAGTACAAAGAACCAATTTGCTGTGACTACTTACGCTAACCAAATGCCTGAAGCTTACCAAGCGAACTTGTTTTTCCCTCCATGAAAGAAAAAAGTAAGTACCTGCTACCTTCTAAACTTTTAATTAGCCCAGACTAAAAGACTGTGTTTAAGAGAAACTGCTGTAGAAATAGCTCAAGAAATTGATGTTTAATTAAGTTAATCATTTTCTGCACTCATCTTTATTTGTATACCCTTTTTGGCCAAAAATAGGTTGAGGCAACGCACAATAAAAAGTATTCAACAACGTGCAGAAAGGCCAAGAGCCAACATGAGGTGATTCTCAATTTAAAACTCTTGGTGTTACAAAGGCCTTCAAAGTGCAGCTTAAATCCCCTCTAATTCATATTAAATTATGCACTTTTCCAATATAAAATAGATCAACACCGTTCTTTTTAGGAATATGTGTATTAAGTAAAGCAACGTAGGACTGAAATAAAGGTCTACTTTAGGGCAAAACACTTTATAATTTTCATTTAAAAAATGCATTGCTAGAGAGAGAATACTTCTGAGCCTTTTAGCTAATGGCAGAGTTATCTACGAGTTTGGCTTCTGACATCTAGAGAACATCCCTGACTCGCTAGATAAATAGCTGCAGGTCCAGTAAATGTTTTACAGTCCATGTTTAAGCTTTTTCTAAATACTTTCACACTTGATCTTTTCCTCCCTGACCCAGATATCCACACTTTACAATTTGGAGGCATTTTACTTGCTTTTAAACTTCAGCCTGGTGATTCCAGACTAATTTTTCTAATTATCTGGATCTCTTTATAAATAGATTAATATTTGGCAGTAAGCTAGTATTTCAACAGAAATGGACAGGTTAACATGAGTGAATTGTGGTTTCCTTGATACTTCCCCTTGTCAAGGCTAATTATATGTTTTAATTATGTTCTGCTTTGATTTAAATTACTGGGGGATGAAATAAATGAAATTGTTTTTAGTGTTTTTACACAAGTCTGTATAGATTTCACATTAAGTGTGAATTTCTTAGCTTAAATCCAGATTCAACCTGCACATAATTCTGTATAACTCCAGTGGATTAATCTAAGTGAAGTGATTGACAATGGAAGGACAGATAGAGCTGCAGCCCCTCCACTTCTTTTTGAGAGCATTGCCTGATTCTTTGGCCTTTAGCCTGCCCAGTGTTTTGTATGTGTACAAGCATTAAGTATAAAATAATATAATTAACTTTTATGGGTGGTTTATAGGATGATTCTCAGTGTTTTAGTCATACGCTGTGTACACATTATCATATTTACACAAATTATTCATCCAGGTTTTGATCTCTTCCCTTATTCTCTATGTTAGTATTCAAGGAGAACATACTGAGGAATCTGGGTTTTAACCTGGTAGGTTATTGGCAGACTAGAACTTCTTCAGAGAATTTCAAATAGAACTTCAAATACAGAGGCAATTAATGTATATTATCTTCCACAGGTTTAGACTTTTTATTATCTCTTCCAGAAAATGGGCCCTTCATTAAACTCACTCACAGGACAGTTCAGAGATGCAGTCCCAGCGTTGCTATTCTCTCCCCTACCACGGCATAACTAAACTCTGCTCCCCCTCCCCCAGCTTGTTTTTCCCCTGAAATTGGGCTGAAAATGTCCACTGTTAATTTCATGCTAGTGTGCTTTTGTTTGGTTTCAAGAAATTTTATTTTAAAATATGAGCTTGGAAGCCTAGCTATTTGACTAAAGAACTGGAACTTTATGAGCCAGCACGAGTGGTAGTGTGTTTTTGTGAATTTTGTACCCTGAGGGAGGCGGGGAAGGGAAGGGGTGCTGAAGCAGCAGTGTCTGCATGAACATTTGTGTTAGGGTCCCGAAGACCCACCCCTTCCCCACTGTGGACACGATGTGATGGATTCGCCTGCCTAAGTGAACCTTTACAACGTGCACCAGAGCTACTGCTGGGAGCACCTCTCCCCACCAGACGGTGAGCTCCCAGAAGGCAGGGACCTACGATGTAGTTACCCTCTGGGCATCCTGGGCAGCAAGCAAGCGCCTGACCCTGAGCGGATGCACAATGAGCATGTGAATGAAAGAATGAATGGGGTGAATGGAAGTAAGCAAAATACTTACATTCATTGGCACCTTTCTGGTAGTTTAAAAACTGTTTAAAGAAAAATTAAGGGGCCTTTTATTTTGTTCATTTTCTTCTTGTTAACGAACCAACTAGTTCATGGATGTGCCTTTTGCTGAGTACTTGGAAAGGAAGAAATGCGTATCACAGGGCTCTGGGTAACCAGAGCTCCCCACCGCCTTCTACCTGAGTAATGAGTAACCTATTCTGCGTGAAAGTTAATTTAAGAAGGGAAAATACATTTGGAAGGGAAAAGATCTGTGATTCTTTGCTTTTTATATTCAGAAATCCTCAGGAGAATTCTTCCAACTTAAACTACCTACTTACTGTATTGAGTAATAGAATGTCAAAGAGAAAAATAATCCTGCCTTTTAGGCGCTAAGATCTTAATGTGGGCATGCTTGAGCAGTAAATATTGGGAGCTTCATTCATTCATGCCTTGAATTTATATAGCACTGGAAAGTCCAACAGTGAGTCACTTGCATTATCCAATGTGGGCCACCAGTGTAGAGGCAGATAATCTTATCTCATCCCTTGACAAGTGGAGATATGGAGACTCAGATGAACTGGGTAAGAAACACAGAGTCAGGTTCATTGCATTCGGTGCAGTGTCCCCTGAGTGCCTGCCTGTGCCAGGGAGCTCGATGGGCGAGGTGGGCTGCTCTCCCGTGGCACCCTGCATCTCCTGTGGATATAGAAAATCCTGCATGGGCAGGGCACAGCACACCACCCAAAACCAAACAACCCCACACACCGCGTTCCCTCCAGGGGCAGAGGGCACTATTGCCTCACAGAACTGGTCCCTCCAGCCTCCATAGTTAAGGCTGCCTAGCCCAGCCCGAGCTCACAGGCATGAGGAATGTTTTATAAATCTTTGTATTTATGTAGAGGTCCTACCTTAGACATATACTACCTAAGTGTATACACATGATCACGGGCAAGCTTAGTACTTTTTTCTCTCCCTTTTGTATTTACCTCTCACCCTTCTTTCACATCAGTTCTCACCCCTTCAGCCCATAATGTGTCTCCTTCCTTACCTATCTTTATATATACATAGCTATACAGATCTTTATATTATTTAATAATCATAATATCATACACACTCTTCTGAAATTTGCTTTTCTCCAAAGAAACTGAGCAGTTCCTTTAGAAATCCCTCTAGCTCATCTGGCAGAGCTCCAATCCATCCTTCTTAATGGCTGCATCATAATGGCTGAAGTAACCATGTATTATTTACCTGGCCATTCACTGATAGATATTCCCTTGTTTCTAGCTTTCTGTTACAATAAGTAATACTGTACACATATGAGTTTACACCTTAGTACTTTTAGTTCTTCGGAAAAATTCCCATGAGTGGAATTCCTGATTAAATCCATTGTTAAACAGTCAAAATTGCCAGACTGCTTTCCTAAAAGCCTTCACATCTCCACTAGTAATGCATGAGCGTACCCTTTTCTCTGCCTTCCTTCCAGCTTTGGCTGACAGACTCCTTCATTTCTGTAACTATGATGGATCTGAAATGAGATCTTATTATTACTTTAACAGCACTTCCCTGAATATAAGTGATGTTATGTATCTTTTCACAAGTGTCCTGGACATTTGATTTTATGCTTAGGTCCTTTGCGTACTCATAATTCTCGCCCATTTTTTTAAATTGGGTTGTTTGTCTCTTCCTTGTAAGTTTGTATGAGTTCTATATGTATTAGGGTTGTAGCTGAAGAGTCTACGGCTTCACTTCCAAGCCAAGGTGGTTGACTGGGAGACTTCTCTCCCTCTGCACGTACAGGGGTGGTTGAAATGAGCTCAGGGGCTGTTTAGCAGAGCTGGGCAGGCCGTTATGACCTGCGGCCCCACACTGCTGGTCTCTCTCTAACTACTGAGTCTGAAGAGAAGGTTGTATGAGCCAGAATGGAGCTGTGTGCGGAGGACTGAGAAGGTGAGGCAGTTCTGTACCGTGCTGCCTTCCGCTGGTTAAGACCTCCAAGAGAAAAGGCCTACCAAGGCAGAGGATGTCCCTCTGTCATGCTTGGAGGGGCAGCGCTGAGCTGGCCGACATTTGTGGTGCTGCTTGTCCCTGGCTCAGAACAGATGTTCTACTAAGTCTAAAGGATTAAGGCATCAAAATTAGTACTTCTCACCCTTGTTTACACCTTCACTCTTACAGAAGATGGTACCCATGTCAGCGGCACTCCTCTGGGCACCCCAAATTTTGCAGAAACCCAGACACATCTTGCAGGGGGGAATGCATGACAGTAATTGGTCACTCTGGTACTTTTAGGGGAACTCTCAGACTTTGGCACAAGAGGGTCTGCAGGTTATGTGCAATTTTCAATCCCAGCTCAAGAAAGCATATCAGAATGCAAAATGATTGTCTTGATATTACAGAAAAACTTTAAATCTCTTTTCATATATCCAATAAAAATAGGGATTCATTATACCATGTAGTCCACTAGGAAAGATAAGCTTCAAATATAGAAGGAATTGGAATTGTAAAAAAAGGAAAAAGAAGTGTAGAAAAGTTTAATATATAGATGGGTAACGAACAGCATTTCTAAGACTAAAACCTGGTTCTTTTTACTAACCATAATGCTTACTAACAGTAAAAAAAGTAATCCACCCTGACAGGTGTGGCTCAGTTGGTTGGACATCATCCTGCAAAGCAAAAGGTCACTAGTTCTATTCCCACTCAGGGGACATGCCTGGATTGTGGGTTTGGTCCCAGGTCGGGGTGCATGTGAGAGGCAACCAATAGATGTTTCTCTTTCACATTAATGTTTCTCTCCTTCTATTTCTCCCTCCCTTCCCTTCTCTCTAATAAATAAATAAGTAAATAAATAAGTTCTTTAAAATGATCTTTGTAGGTGCTCTCTAACTCCCCTCCTCCTCCCCCTATTCCCACTTTGAGGACTTTAGTAATTTAATAAATCTCTTAGGGGAAATCTAGCCTTTAATTTCAAAAGAGCTTTTATACTAATTGGGAGTAACCATATTCAAATCAATGCCTATTGTATCAGAAGATATTTAACTGGCTATTTCTTTAGTTAAAAGAGACCTGATGCTTATCTCTTCTGCTGATTCTTGTAAATTCATTATGTTTTTCAAAATGCAAGAGATGTATTAAATGTTGTGACTGATCCTAAGTAGACTTGCTTAAAGGGGAAAGGAATAATGAGGTTTAGAAAGTGGTAATTCATCTGTAACAAAGCTATTAGCAATTGAATTAAAATCTTAAAGTAAGTTCTATTGATACAGCAACTTATTTTTCCTGTTCTCATCTTTGTCTTCAGTCATTCACAGTTGCATTTAATGAGAGATTCTGAGGCTTCATCATCTCACTGCTGCTGGTTCAAACCCTGACAGTAGGAGGGGGCATTAGCTATCTCACTGTGCAGCATTCTCCCACCTTGGCCTTGATTTTCCCCCTAAAATAAATTCTCAGATGAGTTCCAAGAGGCTGTCCTGTGTTCTCTTATTATCTTTAAACTTTCAAAGCAAGTCTGTCTAGAATCACACATTTGGTCCTTTGTAAGGCTATTTCCTAAAAAATAAACTTCACCTTTCCTAGCCCCCCTTGTATGACAGGTTACTGCAGTGGTAAATTGTTTTCCTAATAGAAAAGACTTTCCAGTGATAGTACTGTGTTGTGTTTGGATCCTTTTAACGCAGATATTTTGTTGGACAAAGCAAGAAGCTATTATTTTTCTTTATTTCTCTTCCTTAATTAAAAGTATTGACCAAGCTACATCTCTTGCAAATACATAGAGGGGGTCAGTTATTGGGGATGAGCAATATAGAAAATTTATTTTATTTGCTTTATGACTCAAACACTTAGTAGGAGGTCTTAAAAAATGGACACTAGAAGGACATGGCATTAACCAGTGTTTCTAGTATCTATCTTGAAGGTTGTTTCATTGAATTTCTTTTACTCAGCTGCTTGTCCCCTGAATTTACTCCTGGCACTGCTGATGGTTCTTCAAAACTCAGGGCTAGCGCTGCAGTCTCTGCCTGAGAACCTGGGGTTGGCCGGAAACCCTGAGGCAATGACAGGGACCTCAGTGCCCTCAGGACATGGACCTCCGACTAATTTAAAGGTAAAAGTTTAGAAAGCCGCTTTGTGTATTGTTATTTCCTAAATGTGCAAATTTTAAAAATATTTTAGTGGCTTGTAGTACTGTTAATTTTCTAATAAACATTTTTACAATCGCAAAATGATACACATGGAACTAATACAAAATAATATTGAATATAAACTGTAATTGAGAAATAAAATTTAAAGTTCTTTTCTTTAAGAAAAATCACAAAATGAAGACACTTTTTATCTTGAAAGAAGTACCCTTTGAAACCTTTTTAAAAGGCTGTTCACTACTGGCACTTTCACCCCTGAAGTTTAAGAAACTCACTCCTAAAACTTTATTTTCTGCTTACTTCTAAAGCTTACTCTGCAACACTGAGAGAAAACTGCAAAAGGGAACCTTGCTCTTATTCTGGAAAAAAAAAAAAAGAATAACTTTTTGTAGGAGATCAGAGGAGACTAATTAAAACTAATATATAAGCAGACTTCCAGTCAAGGTGGAGGAGTAGGTAAACGCTATGCTCGCCCTCTCTCATGACTGCATCAGAACTGCAATTAAATTATAGAACCACTGCCACTGAGAACCATCTGAAGACTAGCTGAACAGATGTTTTATCACTAAAGATATATAGAAGAACCCACAATGAGACAGGGTAGAAGGGGCAGAGACATGGAACAGGTAGTTACCACACAAACGGTGTGGCAATTAAGAATCTGGAAGAATATCTCAGCTGCAGAGATCTCTCCTGAGGAGCAAGGGGTCCCAGCCACCCAGTAAGCTCCCCATCCAAGGGCACCAGCCCCAGGAAGAGGCGATCCCACAACATCTTGCTGTGAAAACCAGCAGGGATTACATACAGGAGGGATATGGGGCTTCTGGACACTCAAGTGTCCTCTCAAAAGGCATGTGCACATATTCACTCACTCACAGACTCACTTGTTATGAGCTCCAGTGCAGGATCAGCAACCCCAAAAGTACTAAGGACATACAGGGAGAAACTAAACTGACTAGCTTCAGGGCAAGGCCTAGAGGGTCAAGGGTCAGGGCAGCTCTCTCCAGGATGGAAGTGCTGGCAGGCACCATTGTTCCTTTGTTGAGCAATCCCCCCAGCAAACCTGCAGGTGCAGGCAGGTACCAAATCTGTGGTCTCCATGAACCTGACTAACACTACCCAGCCCTGGTGATTCCCAGAGATGCCACCCGAGCCCATCTGGTGGCTTTTTCCCATAAGTGGGCTGCCTCGGCTAGTGCTGCGAAATTTCCTAAAATTTCTCAAAGATCCACAAACCCCCAAAAAGCAGCAGCTGGCCTCAGTGTGCTCTCTACCTCTTGCTAAGTTGCCCCAAGCCCAGCACAAAGAGTGACTGGTCTCAACTTGCATCGCAACTTCTCCCATCAGGTGACCCCAATCCTGGCATAAGGGGCAGCCAGCACTGGCTTGGAACATAGCTTTAGCCAGGGGGCCACAAACCTGGAGAAAAGTGGTGGTTGACCTCAGCACACATGTGGTGCCCACCAAAGGGTCCCAAGCTCAGCACTAGCAGCATCTGGCCTTCGCTCACAGCGCAGCCTCTCCCAAGCATGTCCAAGCCAAGCACAAGTAACAGCTAACTACAGATCGCTTTGTAGCTCCCACAAGACAGCCCCAAGCCTGGCATAAATGGCAGCTGACCTGGGCCTGCACCAGAGCCTCCCAAGGGGCTCCAGAAGTAACACACATGGTGGTTGGCTTCAGACCATGGCAGAGAACTACCCACACAGCTCCACAAACAACATACCCAAAGGGCAGACTCAGCTGGCACCAGAGCCATACTGAAGTGACTCCTACTCCATGGAGTCAGCCCCCACACAAGAACTTGTCCACTGCAGTCATGGCTCACCCTCAGACTGTCAACCTGATGGTCAGTCCCACCCACTGACATGCCACCTGCAATCAAGATTCACCACAACAGGAGGGCACACACAACCCACACAAGGGATACTCCTGGAGTGCCAGTTCAGGTGACCAGGAAGACTACAGCACTGGTCCTCACAGAACACCTACTACATAAGGCCACTATGACAAGACTGGGAGGGTAGCAGATCTATATACATAGAAACAATTATAGGGAGTCCGCCAAAATGAATAGACAAAGAGACATGTTCCAAATGAAACCACAGGACAAAACTCCAGAAAAATAACAGTATGAAGACAAGTAGTAAATACAGAATTGAAAACATGGGTTATAAAGATGCTCAGTGAACTTGAGGGAAGAATAGATGAACTCAGTGATAACTTCAACAAAGGATGGAAACCATAAAAAAGAACCAATCAGAAATGAAGAATACAATATCTGAAATGAAGAATACACTAGGAGGAATAGCAGGTTAGATGAAGCAGAGGACCGAATCAGCAATCTGGAAGACAAGGCAGCAGAAAACACTCAATCAGAATAGCAAAAAGGAATCCCCCCACCAACATGAAAATAGCTTAAGGGGCCTCTAGAACAACATCAAGCATACTAACATTTGCATCATAGGAGTACCAGCAGGAGAAGAGAGAGAGCAAGGAATTGGAAACCTGCTTAAAAAAAATAATGACTGAAAACTTCCCTAAAATGGTGAAGGAGATAGACATGTAAGTCCAGGAGTGCAAAGAGTCCCAAACAAGATGAACCCTAATAGACCCACATCAAGACACATCATAATTAAAATGCCAAAGATTAAAGACAGACGGGGAGTCTTAAAAACTGCAAGAGATAAGCAGTTAGTTACCTACAAGGGAGCACCCGTAACACTGTCAACTGATTTCACAATAGAAACTGCAGGCCAGAAGGAATTGGCACAAAATTTTCAAAGGGATGGGGAAAAACGCCCCTTCAACTAAGATTACTCTACCCAGCAAGGCTATCATTTCAAGTTGAAAGATAAAGTTTCCCAGACAAGAAAAGAACTAAAGAAGTTCATCACCACTAAACCAGTATTACAAGAAATGTTAAAAGGGACTTCTTTAAGTAGAGAATGAAAGATAAAATATATGAATAAGAAAATATAGGAAAGAAAAATATTTTCACTGACAGACAATAAAAGCAGTGGATCAAACAACTCTAAAGCTAGTACTAAGGTTATAAGCCAAAAGTAGGGAGAACATGTGCATTTATAACAATAAATTAAGGGATACTCACACACACACACACAGTAAAAAATAATGACAAAAACAAACATGGAGGGGTCAGTATAAACTGAAGTGATTTTATGTGTTTGAACTTAAGCAACCATCAACTTAAAACTGACTGCTATTGGGTTGGCCAAAAAGTTTGTTTTACTTTTTTCCATACAATGGCTCTAGTAATGCTTAGTTGTTGTTAACTTCATTTGAAACAATTCTGTTAGATTGTATCGTGACAGTGTCTTATCAGTGTGCATTTAAAAAAAACATCAAAATTGGTGAATTTTTGTGCAGCCATTTTAATATTGAAGATGGAAGAAAATAAGTGACATTTTTAGCATATCATGCTTTATTATTTCAAGAAAGGTTAAGATGCAACTGAAACACACAAAAAAATTGTGCAGTGTGTGGAGAAGGTGCTGTGACTGATCAAATGTGCCAAAAGTGGTTTGCAAAGTTTCTTGGTACTATTGACATTTTGGCAAATAGTTATTTGCTGTGGGGCTCTCTTATTCATTAGAAGACATTTAGCAACACTCCTGGCCTCTACCCACTAGAAACCAATGGTGGGAGATAGCCGACATACTCAAAATATTCAAATCAATAAAGTTATTGGTGAAAATAAAAAATATGTCATTTATTTTATGGAAAAAACTAAACGGACTTTTTGGCCAATTCAATATAAACATAGCTTGATACATGTGACAAACACATGGTAACCACAAACCAAAAATCTATAAGAAAGAGAATGGAATCCAAATACTGCAACGCTATAGAGAGTCATCAACATGCAAGAGAATAAAGGAAGAGAGAACTACAAAAACAACAAAAAACAATAAAATGGCAATAACTACATACCTATCAATAATTATTTTAAATGGAAATGGACTAAATTCTCCAATTAAAAGACGTAATTTTAAAAAACTAAGTCCTGTACATATTCTGACTATAAGAGACCCACTTTAAATTGAAAGACATACACAGACTCAAAGTAAAGGGAGAGAAAAAGATATTTCATGCAATGGAATTTTTTAAAAAATCTGGGCTAACAAAACTTAGACAAAGTACACTTAAAACAAGGGCCATAACAAGGGGTAAAGAAGGGCACTTCATAATGATAGAGGGATAAATCCAACAAGAAAATATAACTCTCATAAATATCTATGCACCCAACATAGGAGCACCTAAATACATAAAGCAAACGTTGATGGACATAAAGGGTGAGATCAACAGTAATACAATAACAGTAGGGGACTTCAACGCCTCATTGCCATCAATAGGTAGGTCATCCAAACAGAAAATCAACAGGGAAACAGTTGCCTTAAATGACACATTAGACCAGACGAACACACATACTTTTCAAGTGAACCTTAAACATTTTTTTCCAGGATAGACCACATGTCAGAAAATACAACAAACAATTATATGCCAACAAATTGGACAAACTTGAAAAAATGGGTGAATTCCTGGAAACACAACCATCCATGAATGAATCAGGGAAAAAAACCCCCAGAAAATCTGGCGACTGATAACTACTAATGAAATCAAACTGGTAATCAAAAAACTCACAACAAACAAAAGTCTCTGACCAGGTGGCTTCACAGGTGAATTCTATCAAACATTTAAAGAAGAATTAATATGTAACCTCAAAATATTCCATAAAATTGAAGAAAAGAGGTTTCCAAATTCGCTTTATGAGAACAGCACTACCAAAACCAGACAAAGACACTTTCAAAAAAGAAAATTATAAGCCAATATCCTTGATGAACATAGATGCAAAAATCCTCAACAAAATATTAGCAAACCAAATTCAGCAATACAGTAAAAAGATCATATACCATGATGAAGTAGGATTTTTCCCAGGATGCAAATCAATTAACATGATATAATACATAAACAAAATGAATAAAAATCATATGATCATATAAACATATGCAGAAAAAATATTTTTTGACAAAACCCAACATCCATGTGTGAGAAAAAGCTTTCAGCAAAGTGAGAATTAAGAGAACACACCTCAACATAATAAAGGCCATATATAACAAATCCACAGCTAACATACTCAACAATGAAAGGCTAATAAAAGTGTTTTCCCTAAGATCAGGAACATGACAAAGAGGTCCACTTTCACCATTTTTATTCAACATAGTATGGGAAGTCCTGTAGCAATTGCCACAAAAAAAAAAAAAAAAAAAAAAAGGAATAAAAAGCATCCAAATTGGAAAGGAAGAAGTAAAACTGTCATCATTTGCAGATAACATGATACTATATACAGAGAACCCTAAAGATTCCACAAAAAACTATTAGAAAAAATAAATGAATTCAATAAAGTAGGATACGAAATTAATATGCAGAATTCAATTGCATTTTTATACACCAGTAACAAACTATCAGAAAGAGAAATTAAGGAATGAATGTCATTTATAATTACATGAAAAGAATAAAATATGTAGGAATAAATTTAATCAAGAAGATAAAAGACCTGTACTTGGAAAATTATAAAACTAAAAGAAAGAACTGAAGAAGATACAAATAAATGGAAGAATATACAGTGCTCATGGATTAACACCATTAAAATGTCTGTACTACCCAAAGCAATCTACAGATTCAATGCAATCTCTATCAAAATACTAATGGCATTTTTCATAGACTCTAAACAAATAATCCTAAAATTTACATGAAACCACAAAAGACCCCAAATAACCAAAGCAATCTTAACAAAAATGAACAATGCTGGAGGTATTACATGACCTGATATCAAACTATACTACAAGTCCATAATAATCAAAACAACATGGAACAGGCATAAAAATAGACACATAGATCAATAGCCCAGAAATTAACCTATGCCTATATGGTCATTTAATAAATGACAATGGAGGAAAGAATATACAATGGGATAAAGAGAGTCTATTCAATAAATGGTGTTGGGAAAACTGGACATATACATGCAAAAGAATGAAACTGGATCACTTTCTTACACTACATACAATAAAATCAAAATGGATTAAAGACTTAAATGTAAGACCTGAAACTGTAAAATTCCTAGAAGAAAACAAAGGCAGTAAACTCTCTGACATTGCTTTTAGTGATTTTCTCTTAATATCTCCCTGGGGAAAGAGGAAACAAAAATAAGCATATGGGACTACCTCAAACTAAAGTTTTTGCCCAGTGATGGAAATCATCAACAAAACAAAAAGACAAGCTATTGAATGGGAGAAGACAGTCACAGGATACATCTAATAAGGAGTTAATACCCAAAATATATAAAGAACTTACACAAATTAACACACACACGCATGCATGCACAAACAATCCAATTGAAAAATGGGCAGAGGAGCTGAATAGACATTACTCCAAAGAGGACATACAGATGACCAACAGACTTATGAAAAGGTGTTCAGTATCATTAATCATTACAGAAATGCAAATTAAAACCACGATGAGATATGATCGCACCCCTCAAAATGGGTATCATCATAAATGTTAGCAAGGATGTGAAGAAAAAGAAACCCTTGTGCATTGTTCGTGGGACTGTAAACTGGTGCAGCCCCTATGGAAAACAGTATGGAGGTTCCTCAAAAAAAAAAAATTAAAAAACAGAACTACAATATGACCCAGCAAGTCCACTTCTGGGTATTTATCCAAAGAAATCCAAAACCCTAATTCAGAAAGATATATGCATCTTTATGTTCATTGCAGCATTATTTACAACAGCCAAGATATGGAAGCAACCTAAGTGTATGACCATGGACAAATGAATAATGAAGAGTTGATACATACACTGGGTGTGGCAAAAGTAGGTTTACAGTTGTGAGTACATGAAATATGGGAGTTTATTCTGGTATTATTAATTATTGTATTATTTTTCCATACAAACAACTGTAAACCTACTTTTGCCCCACTCTGTATACAATAGAGTATCACTCAGCCAGGAGAAATGAAATTTTGCCATTTGTGACAACATGGATGAACCTAGGGGATATTATGCTAAGTGAAATGTCAGACCGAGAAGGACAAATGCCATATGATTTCACTTACATGTGGAATCTAAAGAACAAAATAAACAAAACAGAAACTAATAGATACAGAGAACTTTTTTTTCCCCAGAGAACATTTTTGTGGTTGTGAGGTGGGAAGGCAGTTGTGGAGATAGGTGAAAAAGGGGAAAGGATTAGGATGTGCAAATTGCTAGTTATAAAAACAGTCTCAGGAATATAAGGTACAGCACGGGGAATATAGTCAATAATATTGTAATAACTATGTATGGTGTCAGGTGAGTACTAGAGCTATCAGGGTGTTCCCTTCCAAAGTTACAAAAATGCCTACTATGTTGTACACCTGAAACAAATATAATACTGTATGTCAACTGTAACTGAAAAATAAATTTTAAAACTAATATATACATACAGCACTTACATAGCTAGTTCTTTTCATTTAAGAAGCTTGGCTTCCCAATTTTAGTGTAAATACACATTAGCTGGGGACCCATTTCTTAGAGAATTCTTAGGAAAAGAGAGCTGAAAATTTTTTACGTTTTTTTCCCTGAGGAATCAGTAATTAATAATACTGAAAAAGAAACCCAGGTATCTAACGAAAACTGACAGAATTTTTACCTGTAGTAAAGGAAGGCATTATTTCCACAGGCTAACTATAATCATAGAAGTTGTTTGAGTGTGTGTATATCTATGTATATAAAATTTGTTGTTCTTACCTTTTCTCCCCTCGGTATGCAGTCGCTGCAAAGAGGATGAGGAGCGACGAACTGGCAGTGAGCATGGAAGAGCCAGGTGGGCAGGACGATGCTGCTGCGCTAGGCGGCCCTTTTCCTGGCCTGGAGCCGGCGCCTGCCGGCCGCCTGGGGGCGCCATATTCCGAGGCCTGGGGGTACTTTCACCTGGCCCCGGCGCGCCCTGGACAGCCGTCGGGCTACTGGGCCACCTGCCGGCTGTGCGGGGAGCAGGTGAGCCGAGGCCCAGGCTTCCACGCGGGCACGCCGGCGCTGTGGAGGCACCTGAAGAGCGCGCACCGGCGAGAGCTGGAGAAGAGCGCCGCCCGCCGCTCGCCGCCACCCGCCCCAGGCCCTGCTGCGGCCGCAGAGGGCGACTGGGCGCGCCTGCTGGAGCAGATGGGCGCGCTGGCCGTACGGGGAAGCCTCCGAGAGCGCGAGCTGGCGCGTCGCGAGGCGGCCGTGGAGCAGGGCGAGCGCGCTCTGGAGCGGAGGCGCCGGGCCCTGCAGGAGGAGGAGCGCGCCGCGGCCCAGGCGCGGCGGGAGCTTCAGGCCGAGAGGGAGGCGCTGCAAGCGCGGCTACGGGAAGTAAGCCGTCGCGAAGGCGCCTTGGCTGCGGCCCCGCTGCAGACTCCGCTCAAAGAGGAGCCCGAGGGGGAGAGGGACGGCTGCATGATCACTAAGGTCCAGCTGTAGGTTTGGGTCGCTCCCGCCGTCCCGTGCCAGTGCTACTTTAAGTGTGGTCCGCGGACCGGCGTTTTCAGCCTCCCCTGGGGGCTGAATCTCAGACCCGCTGCCTCCCGGTGAATCGGGATCTCAAATTAGGACCTTGAAAATTGCTTCCGAGGCCTGAACAAAACCAAAAATCATTTCTACTCTGCCTGGGGTGCCTGGAAGCGCAAGCTCCAGCGGCCCCCTTTTCTGTTGGCATTTAGTGGGCACTCGTGCAGGGAGCGGTTTTCCTCCAACTGCCTTTGGGAATCGTATCTCAAGCAGCCCGTTGAACCTAAATCTCCTGAGACTTTCTACCTGGTGACTCTGAAAGGACAGCTTCCTTACACACCAAAGGCTATCACCATGTGCCTGTACACTGGCCAGGACAACCCAGGGTGAGGGTCTCTGGAAATAAGGGTAAAAAGCATTTTATCCAAAAGGAAGAGTTTTATTAATTTCCTAACGAGTAAATAAATCTTTGATGAGCAGTCTTTACCCAACACCAAGTTCAGAAAAGCGGGCCCACTTAAGTTTCCACGGCTGCTCTTTACCCTCATGATCTCTTACGCCTCCGCAGGACAATCCCGAGAAACCCTGTTTACTCTCCTCCCCACTTTGCACACCACCAAGTGCACCTTGGTCTGTTTCATCTCAGCCGTATTCTTTCCCGTTTCAGACCCACTGGCAGCTGTGGTCAATGTCCCCACTTTCTCACACCTGCTCCCTTAGTAGCAAAACATGACCTCATCCTTCCTTGCTAGGAAGAACACTGCCTTCCCCACCTGTTCCACAGTGCCCACTTCTGGCTCAAAGGAGGTATCCCTCCCACCTGAGGCAACTTCCTCTTATGTTTACATCCACTCCTTTTCCACCTTCACTGGCTCTTTGCTTCATTCGAGTTCCCCGTTTCCTCTTTATTCCCTCTCTTTACCCAGACTTTCTCTTTGTCAGAAATGCCCAGTTTCCCTTGCACTGAAAAGAAATACTTCCCCAGCCTGGACGCTCTCACCTGAACCACCATCTAAGGAGGATTAGGCCATCCTTCCTGCCTCTTCTTCTTCCCCATTCTTTGATTCCTTCATTCCATGGTCAGCTTTCTATGCTACACTGGACTCTTTAAGAAGCCACCTCAATCTCCCAGTGGCTGAATATGATTATTTATTCAAGCTTCATTTTGCTTAGTCTCTCCCTTCTTGAAGTTTCTCCATTGGTAGGGGGAAACTGCTTTTCCTCTACAGAATTCCTTTTCCTAATACAGGCTGGTTCCCAAACAATTTTTCTTAGGTCTATTTTCCCTCATTTTTTTATATACTGAAAAATTTCAAGCATCTAGAAGAAGTTGAAAGGCTAGTGCAATGAATACCTGTAACATCCACCTGAACTGAACAATTAACATTTTGTCATATTTACTTTTTCTTCCCTCCACCCCATACATACATCAGTTTTCATCCCTAAGTATTTCAGTATGTATCTGCTAATAAAGACATTTTCTACATTACAGTGCAATTATCATACCTAAGAATATAAAGTATTTCCTAGTAGTCTCTAATAGTCCTCAAAATGCCCCAATTTTCCCAAGAATGTCTTACCTTTTTTTAAAAAAAGGCTCCAAAGTTAATATGTTTTGATTATAACCCTTTTATAATCTTTTAGTCTACAACATCCCCCTTACTGCTTTTTTTCTCATGACACTCTTTAAAGAGTCCCAGCCACCTGTCTAATAGAATGTCCTACATCTGGATTTGTCTAATTGTTTGCTTAAGCCAGTTTCCGCACTCATTCTTAGCTCCTCTACCTCTAAGAGCTGCAATAATCATCTCTATGCCAACGGCTCCTGAACACTTCCAGCACTGAGTGTTCCCCCACCCCAGCCTGTCCTTCATGTCTAATCCCCTGCTGCGTGTTTGCATTTTTACTTGCATAACTGCCACTACAGATGGAAAGGGCAAATCTATTCAACCCCACATCCCCAGCCCTCACCTTTACTGGACTCTTAAAATGTATCAGGTACATACACACTTTACATGTATTCTTTTACTTCATTCTCATAGCACCTCCACAAGGAGGTACTAATATTGAGTTGGCCAAAATGTTCGTTTGGCTTTTTTCCGTAAGATGGCTCTGGTAGCACTAAAGGCGACTGTCTTTAACTTCATTTGAAACAATTTTGTTAGATCATATTGTGATAGCTGTCATGTCAATATGCATTTTTTTAAAACGTATCAAAATTGATGAGTTTTTTTGTAGCTGTTTTAATATTGAAAATGGAAGAAAATACACAAAATATGGGCATGTTATGCTTTATTACTTCAGGAAAGGTAAAAATACAACTGAAACACACACAAAAAAGATTGTGCAGTGCATGGAGGTGCTGTGACTGATCAAACGTGTCAAAAGTGGTTTGTGAAGTTTTGTGTGGGAGATTTCCACTGGAAGATGCTCCGCGGTCAGGGAGACCAGCTGAAGCTGATAGCGATCAAATTGAGACATTAACTGAGAACAGTCAATGTTCTATCTTGCGGGAGATAACCAACATACTCAAAATACACAAATCAATGAAGTTATTGGTGAAAATGAAAAATGTGTCTTTTATTTTACAGAAAAAACTAAGAGAACTTTTTGGCCAATCCAGTATTATGCCTGTTTGGCAGCTAAGGAAACTGACAGAGGAGTTAAGTAGCTTATATAAGAACTCAGCTGTTAAGTAGTAGAGCTGAGATACAAATCCAGTCTTTACCCAGATGCCAGGATCCTAGCTGCTGTATTAAGCCACCTGGCTGACACACCTGTTTCCTTCCTAACTCCAATTCCAGGTTAAACCATCAGAGACATTAACACACACTAAGCATTCACCATGTGCCAGGGCCGTGCTAAATGCTTTACAAGAATAACTGCCGATCCTGCCGCAACCCCCGTGACATAAATGCTCTTATGCCCATTTTGCAGAGGAAAAGACAGGCTCAGGGCAGCTATGTAATGTCTTCAGAGTCACATAACTACTAAGAGACAGTGTGGGACTTGAACTGCAGCCTCACTGGATCCTAATCTACTGAGTCTATTTCTACAAAATCTCACACCTGTCTTTCTTAAGATGCCACCTGTCAAACTCAAGCCCCATTTATCAGTAATCTGGAATTCATCTTCTCATCCTTGTCTTCCCCCACTGTCCCCTACCTGACACTCAACTTGGCCTGAAGGATTGTACCGAGCCAGTGCTGGTATCACTTTTCCTGCTCAAGAGCCCCCAAAGAACACCTATCATCTACAAGCTTCAACTTCGTGGCCTGACATCCAAATCCACCCACACTGGCCAGTCTTAGTTGTCCCCTCCCCTACATATTCTCCAGCCAAACTGGATTCCTTGTTCTTCCTGACATGCCCTAGTCTTGGTGCCTCTGTGTCTCTGATCACCCTGCCTCCACTTAAAAATTCCTTTAATCTGAGTATGAAAAATCCACTCATTTTTCTAAGACCAAGCCAAAATTTGACTGCCCACACGAAGCTTCCCTTGGTTCCTCCTCATTTAGAGATGATTGCTTACTGCACTGGACTCTTATAGCATTTATATCTCACATCCTTTAGAACAGACCATTTAGCATATGGCTAGGTGGGTTCTTTGCCAGACCCGGAGCCCTTGGAGTTCACTCATTCTTTTACTCCCACAATGCCTTGCATAACATAGCTGTTTAATAAATACTTGAGGCATCAAATCCACTCAGTGTGTTTAAGATTTTTATGGGTTAGTTCTCTCATAATTATTAATATAACTAATCATTTAATTCTCTGAGTAGAATTAGAAAAATTAGCCTAAAATGAAATTGCAGTAATGATTTTTTAAGCTGTCTAGTCAATAAAATCTAATTAGTATCAGTTATTGGGCTGTTTGATTTGAATCCAATCAACTACTCTAGCATGTCATTATCAGGAATGTTTTTCTTAAAACTAATTTTTTCATTACTCAAGTAATATAAATGCAATGCCCCAATCTGGGAAGAACAGCAGGGGGGAAGAACAAGGCCACACAGTCCTGTGACCTTGGTAAAACTGCTAACAACATGTTTATGTATTTCATTCTTCTTTTGCAATTTTTGCACTAATAGTAAAAATTTCTCTTAAGTACTGACACTTAACTTCTTTATATGGATTTGTAAGCTGGACTGTAAGATCTGAATTTGGACTTTTTAGAAAGGAAAAAATACCTTTACGCTATCACTCTTCTATTGGGTTGGCCAAAAAGTTCATTTGTTTTTCCCCATAAGATGGCTCTTGTAGCACTTAGTGGTCTTCAACTTCATTCAAAACAATTTTGTTAGATCGTATTGTGATAGCTGTCATGTCAATATGCATTTTTTTAAAAAATGTACCAAAATCAGTGAGTTTTTGTGTAGCTGTTTTAATATTGAAAATGGAAGAAAATACACAAAATATGGGCATGTTATGCTTTATTATTTCAGGAAAGGTAAAAACACAACTAAAACACACACAAAAAATATTGTGCAGTGCATGGAGGCGCTGTGACTGATCAAACATGTCAAAAGTGGTTTGTGAAGTTTCATGCTGGAGATTTCCCACTGGAAGATGCTTCACGGTCAGGGAGACCAGTTGAAGCTGATAGAGATCAAATCAAGACAATAACTGAGAATAATCAACATTCTACCATGCGGGAGAGAGCCGACATACTTAAAATATCCAAATCCATAATGTTTTTGGTGAAAATGAAAATCTTATCCTTTATTTTACAGAAAAAACTGTACAGACTTTTTGGCCAACCAAATATTTCACCAATTGTTAGACCCATTAAAATAAGCAAAGATTTACTTTTAGAATCTTAACCACTCCCTCAAGAAAGATAGCTTATGAGAACCTGAATAGCTGTTCAGGGACGGACGGCAGAGCGGGACGGGTGAACAGTGACCTTACTGATGACTGCCGGCTGGGGGAGCTAAGGGAAGGCATTCTACTTTCTGCGTTATACACCACTGCACTTTCATACTAGAATATAAAATTACTTGCATTTTGCAAATGAAGAATCCTCACCATTAGTGTTCAGTTTCCTCAATTAAAATAAAATCTCCAACACAAGGGCTGAAATAATCCCTACTTCCAGAAAAGCCTAGAAGGAAATGTAGCCCTTACCCAATCCAAGTCCATCATTTGACAGAGGAGAAAAATGAGTCCCAGAGTGGCATGTCCAGTACCAGGGGACAGTGGCTATGGCGGCTCACATGACTCCAGCCCCCTGAATAGGTATTCTGCCTCCTTGGCCTTGAGTAGAGCACTCAAGCCAAAGCACAAGAACTATCAGGACCAACCAGCTGAGCTGGCATCTTGATATCAACTAAACGGTGGGACTGGGGAGTGCCCACGTTGGTTTTGGGGATTGCTTCAGCCTCTCTGGCTGTAGCCTCATCTGCTCACAGAGTTGTCACTACTAATGGGTGACAGTGACAAGCCTCACCTGTATCAGCAGGGTTTCCCTGATTTATGTGACTGGACTTGCCAAGAGCAAGGCATTGCATTAGCGAGGTGGGTGGCTGGTTACTGGGATGCAGACAGCCTTGAAAGCAACTCAGCTCCTGCCATGATGCCACTGTGGGTGGAAATGTGGCATGAAGAAGGGGACATGGGTACAGCAGGGTAATGACAACCGAGCTTGAACAGTTAGGGCCTTTTAGGCACCAAAATTTGTCATCCTTGGGGGTTGGGGAAGGGAAGGGTTTGGCTTGGTTTGGGCTGAGTTTTAACTTTAAATAGCCGTCCATATCTTTAATTTTTCAGAAGAGATTCAGAAACACTGGGCTTTGTTTCGCTGCCATGGAGCCATTAAAGAATGCTATTTCTGAAGGCTTGAACTTTTTGCCTTTCCACAACTTGACTCTGTTCCTTTGTCTGGAAAATGGGTGAGGTGCCTATTAAGGTCCCCTTTGACTTTAATATGCTATGATGACATGATTACAGTGAAACATCAATTGACCTCTGAGTGAATCAGTTGCTCTGTTTAATTGGATTTTCTTGTTAACTGCAAATGTAGAAGAAAATGTTGAAGGTCACACATGTATGCTTATTATTAAAAATAAAAGTTGTGTATCAAACTACTTCTTCCACAGTACTGAGGTACTAACTCTGTCAGATTTCACTACTGAGAACTGAAACCGTGTGCAGCAGTAATCAGCACGCTCTCCCTCACTATACTCTTTCTGTGTGCACAACACTGCAGGCAGGGCAGGTATAAATGTCCACGTTTTACAAATGAGCCCCACACTTCAGCAAGGTGAAGTGGCCTGCTGAAGACCACACAGCTAGCAAGCAGCAGATTGGAGCCAGGGGCCCCACCCATGGATCCTGGTCATGTCAGGAGCCAAACAAACAGTTACGCTTCCTTCCAGGCCTCTCTTCTGGCCCATCTCTTCACCACAGCTAGGAGTTCTGTGTCCTGGCCTGAGTGCCTGCTGACCCTCAGGTCCCCTGGTGGCTATTTCCCACCCACGAGCTCTAGCGCTGGGTGCCAGCCAGCTTTCCCAGGGGAAGCAATGTTGGTCTCTGTATTAGTTTCCTGTTGCTGCTGTAACAAATTACCACAAATTTAGTGGCTTAAAACAACATGAGTTTATCTAATAGTCCTGCAAGTCAGGAAATGGATGTCCAAGTGCTGGCTCTTTCTTAGGGCTCTGAGAGAATCCGTTTTTTGCCTCTTTTAGCTTCTAGAGGTTGCCCACGTGCTTTAGCTTGTGGCTCCTTTCATCTTCAAGGCCAGCAAGGGCCATTCTCACATTGCATCGCTCAGACTCCCTCTTCCACGTTAAAAAAAACACTCTCCTGGCCCTGGCTGGTGTGACTAGTGGATTAGGCGGCAGCCTGCCAACCACAGGGTCGCTGGTTCAATTCCCAGTCAGGGCGCATGCCTAGGTTCCGGCCCAGGTCCCCAGTAGGGGGCAGGTAAGAGGCAACCACACATCGATGTTTCTCTCCCTCCCTTCCCCTCTGTCTAAAAATAAATAAATAAAATCTTTTTAAAAAGTGCCACACTCCGAACCTTATGGTTAGTTGGTTAGCAACCTAATTCTATTTAAAAATTAATTCTCCCCTGCCAGGTGACATATTGAGTGGTTCCAGGGTTAGGACACAGGCATGGAGAGAAAGTGATTATTCTCTTACTGCAGCACCGTACTGCCTGGTGCAGATCTGGGAAGGGGCGTGAGAGAGGCATTTGCTTATGAGCCTCCCTTTCCCAGAAATCAATACATTAGTGGGTATCCTAATCTTTCCCCTTCTACATCTCATTATCTCTGCCCAGTGCAGGGAGCATTTAGACTTTTGAGACAGATACCTGTGGGTATGAAGGGATGCCTCTGGGAGAAAATCACAGGCCTCCATAGTTCTGAGAACATTTGTAAATTTGTGCACTAACAAGGATCCTGTTGACCAGGAAGGCCAGGTGGTGATGTCTGAGGAGATGATCAAGCTTTTGGAGTTAGATGTGGATTAAAATACAAGCTTTTAACTACACATGTGAAGTGTCACCTTGGCATTCACTTTAAGCTCTCTGAAATCCAGTATCCTCCTTAGTAAAATGAGGACAATAAATACTTAAAGGGTTCTTATGAGGATTAAGCAAAATATGATGCAGGCAAATTCTGACATATCATTTAAACTCAGTAACTATGACTTCTAGTTATCTACATGGTTAGATATGTGGTCCTGTCCAAAATATCCCTGGAGACACAGGCTCCATGCCCAAACATCCTTGAGGTTTGGTCCTGTCAAAAATGTCCATGAGCATATTTGGTCCACGCCAAATGGTCCTTGTTTTGGTCCTGTCAAAAACATTCATGTTTAGCAAACATTCTTAGGTTCAAATATCCCATAATGTTTATTTATACATTTGATTTACAGGATTATTATGTAAAAAATACTTTCATGTTTTATTGGCCCAATAACTCTGCAGTGGCTGTATTGCCAATAACCCCTCTTGTGTTGGTAGCCTCGCTGGCCACACATGATAGTAGATGAGTCAGTGTGAATTAAATGTCTCCATGGATGTTCTGGTACCAGATCAAATAAGTATCAAGAACATTTTGGTAGGGACGAAATGTGACCATGGACATTTTGGACAGAACCAAGTGTCCTGCAAGGATCTAAACGGGAGCTCAAAACCAATCCAAAGAACCCCAGAGACTACAGGTTCCCTGGGATGGTTCCTGAGAGCAGATGTGCACAAGTCACGAAGGTCTGCCAGGCCATTTCCTTTCATGGTAGAATCATTTTTCTATCAAAACATAACTTCAAACCTGATTAGATTAAGTCTAATCAGGCCAATCAGCTAATCTTGTCAAAAACACAACATGACTTTAGACTACAAAGTACTCTGACTGATCTTACAATAACTGTATTAAAAAATACCCATCTAAGTACCTTCCCTTCGAAGTAGTCACCTTGGAAGATGGAGTGACTCCAAAAATACTCCATGCTTAAATGCTCTGGAACTCCTCTTTCAGAGTAGTTCTCACAGTTGCTGGCATGCTCTTTAAAAAACATCCTTAAGTTGGCAAATATCATCTTTCCAGGAAAAATGTGATTTTTTTAAAAGACCTGACAGTTATTCAGAGCCCAGTCTGGTGAATGCAGTAGATGATTAACCAAATTAACTTTTCTGGATAATAAATACAGTGTGATTATCATAAATCAATGATAACGATTTTTGAGTGGCTCGTAAATTGGCCTTCATAGTGTTGTATATTAAGGTTAAGGTAGCATGGTCATAGAGATTAAAGCCCATTTTAGTGGGTTTATGATGTGAATGAATTCAGAGAGCACTGGGAGTCATTACATATTTAAATAGCATTGAATGTTTCTTTTTATGAAAATCTTAATTATGACATTCTCTGAGATCTGATTTCATAATACTAAAATGAAAGCTTTAAGGAAAAGCATTAAATGCTAATGAAAGCTTTATTATTTCAGTATATATTCTCCTGGGCCTTTGGTCAAGATAAGTAATGATCAGATGAATGAGCTGGCAACCTTCCTG